GAGAAGTATAATCACTAGCTCCGGTTTCCCATTCGGTTTCCAAAATTGGTGGAAAAAATGCCCAACCATGACTGCGGGTGCTCCCCGGGAACTGGGATGGCAGATACCCACCCTTCACGAAATTGACCAAATTGTTTCTATATTTGAAGCCAGCTTTAGGGACTTTGAAAAAATCCTCATCCGCGACCTGCAGAATACCGCAAGAGCCAATCGGGTCGCCAACCCAAATCGAATCTTTGCAGACATTAAATTGCCTACAGCTTCCCCAGTCGAAATATTAGATGACTCATGCAGCTGTGAAGTTTTGGACATAGACCTTGAAGATAACTCCATAACCCTGTCCAATAATCCCCAGTTTGATGATAGTCTACCAATCATCTCCCCAGATGGATTGATTGACCCCATAATCTGCTCCGATGACAAAATTTGGGCTGAAAAAGTTGACCATATTCAAATCGGAACCACCTTGCGTCAAGAAAAGTTTGTAGGAGACCTGGAGGAGCTCTTCCGGAGATTCGGTGATGAGTGGCGGAAACGTTGGGACCGACATGTGGAGATGCCAGTTGACTATTGGGATCCAGTTGTAGCACACTTCACTAAGAACACACCACGAGGAGATCCCATGCCACATACCAAAATCAGCCTGGACACCTGGTACAACACACTCAAAAAGAAAAAGAGCCGGTCCGCCGTCGGACCAGATGGGTGGTCCCGGCAGGACCTACTACACATGCCGAAGTACCAAACACAAGTACTTCTCGACCTCCTATACGCCATTGAGTGTGGTAAGGAGTGGCCATCATCCCTACTGGTAGGACTAGTCCATAGTCTAGAAAAAATCCCAAACGCCTCAAAAATTTCCCAGTACCGGCCTATAACCCTGTTCAGTGTTATATATCGATGTTGGTCATCCATCAGGTCTCGTGAGATTCTTAGGCATGTTTCTCGATACGCCCCAACAGGATGTTTCGGAAATGTTCCAAATAGATCGGCATCGCAAGTCTGGATGGGAGTTCAAACTGCCATTGAAGCAGCCAATCATGATTCAACAACAATCTCAGGGGCTATAGTTGACGTGGTTAAATGTTTCAATCATCTACCACGCATCCCGATGATGGAGGTTATTACACATTTAGGAGTTCACCCCAACCTGGTATCAACGTGGTTTCGGGCACTACAAGGGATGGTCCGCCGATTCAGCATCAGGGGGTCAGCTGGACCACCCATAAAATCCAGCACAGGATGTGCGGAAGGTTGCGGATTAAGCGTGGTAGGGATGTTTGCCATAAATTGCCTCATCGATTGTTTCATGAAACACCGAGCCCCTGAAGTCAAACTCTTGTCTTTTGTTGATAACATGGAAGTTATCTCCAACAGGGCACACCTGACACGAGAAGGTTTGTATCAACTAAGGAGAATCACTGAACTTTTAGACATTCAACTCGACGAAAAGAAGACAGTTGTTTGGTCAAATGATAAAAAGGAAAGGAAATACCTCCGAGACAGTGAGCACCAAGTGGCAATGTGGACACGTGAATTAGGAGGACACGTACAGTTTTCCAAACAAATGACAAATAGTGTCATCACTAACAGAATCAAGAATTTCAAGTCCAGATGGCCCGACATTGCCAGATCCCAAGCACCGTACACCCAGAAACTGAAAGCCATTAAAATGGTGGCATGGCCCAATGCCCTTCATGGAATAACCTCGGTCCACTTAGGTGATGAACACTATGAACACCTGCGTACTGGAGCACTGCGGGGACTTGGGGAACATATGTGGGGGGCATCACCCGCCATACACCTTAGTCTAGTGGAACATCCTTCGGCCGACCCTGGTTTTCATGGAGTCCTCAAAACAGTCATGGACTTCCGTTCCATGACAGAAGCAGATGCCTGCATTCCAGTATTGACCAAACTCGCTGAGCCCAATGACAGGAAAAAACCAACAGTAGGGCCGTGCAGTGTTTTGCTGCAGAGGCTGCATGCAATCAACTGGCACTGGGATGATGATACCTTTTGGGACCACAATGGTTTCGCAATTGACTTATGGCAGCAACCAATACAAGACATCAGACTGCGCCTGACAGAAGCGTGGCAAACCCAAGCGATGCATCATGTTGCACACAGAGCCTCATTCCAAGGGATTTCCCAAACTTCACCATACCTTACTACAGCAAATTTCCCGCAAAATTCCAGTGATGCCAGCATACTTAGGAAATGCCTCAACGGCACCTTTTTCACTGCTGACCATCAAAAATATCGGGATGCAGATGAAAGTACAGATTGCCCTTTTTGCCATAACGCAGACAGCCAATTTCACAGACATTGGGAATGCCCAAGCCTGGAAGATGCCAGAAAATCTATGCCTGAACACCACCGCCAACTGGCCATGCAGTCGCACCCTGCGACTTTCAACCACGGATGGATTCCAGCACCTGCAGCATTGCCTTATTTCCGACAAGCACTTCACAATATTCCTGACAACACCCATAATTTAATTATTCCCGAAATAGTCCCACCCACTTTAGACATTTTCACAGATGGGTCATGCCTTAACCCAGCCTGCAAAATGACCAGACTAGCATCTTGGGCAATTGTCCTTTACACGCCAGATAACCAACATGATTTCACACCAGTGGGAGCAAGTGTATTGCCGGGCCTGATCCAGACAATCACTAGAGCTGAACTGACAGCTGTCATAGCTGCTTTGATTCTTGAGGATCGTCTCCGTAAGCCATTTCGGTTGTGGATTGATAATGACTTTGTAGTAAATGAGTTGCGACAGGCTTTTGAAACACCTGATTTTTTCTTTTCCAAGATTTCTCACAAAACTGCCAATCATGATTTGCTATTGACCCTTCACCTGTGGGCCCACCGAACCAAACTCTTGTGTAAGGGAATTCTCAAAGTTTACAGCCACCAAGAGAACTATGAAGACGCAGACCCAGCTACTGAATTTGCAATCGCAGGTAACGCAGCGGCAGATGAGGCAGCAGGGAAAATCTGCCTTAGTTTTCCTCATGTACACAAACTATGGAAAGTGGTATCCAAGCAGGTTCGAGAGTTAGTAGCATTTCGTTGTTCTTTGCACACCATGTTTGTACAAGTTGGGAATCTTGCTTTGCGTTTAAAATCTCACCAGTCACGGGGAGTCTCTGTGGCACAAGGGCCGACCCACTCAGCTGAAACCATAGTGATGTCTCACTGGCGAGTTAGCCATTTGGGTGCCCCGCTTGCACCCTACATCACTGAGGACTGGGGTAAGATAGCGCAATGGATAGATACTATTCATGAGGATGGACAACCGATCCAGCTGTGGTCTTGGTATCAGCTTTATCTTGATCTTCAGGTATGTTACCCAAACACATCCCCATGGTATAAGAAAACTGTTAAAGCATGGCAAAATGGCCGAGATTGCCCGACAGTGCCTTTCAGGAAAAGGTGCCGATGGTTCATGAATTATGTCACACGCACATGGAAACACTTGAAGGTAGAGCCCCCCCTGCGACTTTGCAGGCCAACCTCTGACGTCTTGCAGTTCTGGTGCCCTTGTGTGACGGTCATGGTAAGTCCAGAACGAACAGCCGCAATTGACCAACAACTCGCGAGCTGCCGTGCACGATACGTGGAGTGGAAGGATCTCGATTTCTTCGGCATGTAGAAGTTTTGGGGGCTCAATGTAGTCCGCTTCGGCCGTCTACTTTGAGATCAGCAGGAAAAGTGATGGGAAAAGTGATATTAATTATCATTGATGAATATATATATATATATATGCATATGATATTATATATATATATATAAAGTTGTTTTTGTTCTGAGGCATCTCAGAGGCTTTGCCCTATAGTTGGATGAGTGACAAAGAAAACAACCAGCCAAAGTACCTTCCCCAGCGATACTGAAAAAAAAAACAGCCATCCAGCTACCATCCAGCTACCTTTCGGATTGGATCATGGGCCCTTTGCAGATCTGAAAATCGATGTCATCTCCTCACCAGGACCACAAACGGTCACACACCCTATACTCAACCAGGGTTTCTTGAGGGGGATTTCATCTTGGTATTCATCCCCCAGGATCAAAAAAATACTCACAACCTCAGTCAGGGAGTTGTTGTGATGTCCCATCTCTAGCTGCGGAGCTCATCATTGGAAGAGAACCGGTGCTGCCCTGCTGTCTCTTCGGAATCGTCACTATTGCGCACAGTTCTCACAGTCATGTCAAGCCCGGAATGAGGTGTTCATATCTCTTCCAGTTCTTTCAGCCTACATGATCCTACATGGTCCTGGTATCTAAATGTGGCAAATTCAATAACAAAAACCTCTCCCATCTAACTTCAGCGTTTACATGTCATGTAGGGTATTGAACACCGCAACGACAAAACAACAGGTTTTTTCTTTGCTCAATTCGCAGCTCAATAAGCGGTATACAAAAGACAAACTGATACAACCATAATAGTTAGGCCGGGCCCCATAAGGGGCCCCATATCCCAACATATCCCAATTTATGGAGGCAAACTTAATATACCTATGTGCCTACGAATACGTCTATAGTAACCACGTGTTTATAGACTGCTATGGGCATTATTTACCTGATATTTTTCCAGCTATCCCACTTTTCGATCACTGGGGGGTTTTCGCTCAAAAACCAGGCGACCCGGATTGGTGAGCTCCGTCATGCTGCGAATCGTATCCTGGAGAACTCCCCAGGCTGTCTGAAAAGTGCCCGGAAATTTTGGATGAGTTTGATGGATGACCATTTAATGATTTGATGGAAATTTGATGGAAATTTGTTAATGATTTAGTAATGATTTGATGGAAATTTGATGGAAATTTGATGGAAATCTGATGATTCCCAATCTGGTTGGTGGTATACCTACCCCTCTGAAAAATGATGGAGTGAAAGTCAGTTGGGATGATCAAATTCCCAACTGAATGGAAAAATAAAAATCATGTTCCAAACCACCAACCAGCAACACATGATTCCCAACGAATTGGTGCTGGTTAACCCATGCTGCACGGCATGATGGATGCTGTTCTCGGCCAAACCACTTCCATCTCTTTCTCGATGGCCGCCAGTCGTGGATATAACCTGCACAGTGAGGCAGGCAAGGTCTATGGTCATCCTGGTGGCACCTTTGTGTGTCCTGCGAAAAAAGGGGTGACCTTAACGGGTCTCCTATGGTCTCCTGTTTTCTGCGCCTTTTCTGTGCAATCCAACATGTATGGTGTTTAGTTGGTCAAAGCTGCCAGAAAACATGTGTTGTTTTTCCTGCGTTGACCCTCCGTTCATCAAACATAGCACTTGGACATGCTCCGCAGTTTCCTCGGATTATCCGATCGCTTCGCCGGCCTGGACATGGCCTGATAGCTATGGACATTTTGCAGTGCCAGCCAGCCCTCGGAGATTTGCCGACCTGGCCGATGTGAAGCAAATATGGCAGTGGAAAATCCGTGATTTATAGATACCCACAGGGGATTTTCTAGCCAACCATGTTGGATTATACCAGAGGATACCGGATATACCTACTCAATCAACTAAAAACTAACCATGGAATGATATTCCCCAAAAATCATATTATGAAGCAAACTTAGAGTCGTCAACTTACCTCACCAACTTGTGGGGACCTCAGTTTTTTTTCCTCGCCAAGCTGCAGTTCTCCATGTGCAAATCGAAGCTCTTGGCCCTTTGCAGCGCTAGGATGTGCAGGGCATCCTCAGCGAGTCGGCGGAATTTTAGGGCTGGATAAGCTACCAAAAGCTGGAGATAATGATGTATATATATGATGTATATACATGTATAATACATATATATATATATATATATTTAAATACACATAGTTTAAGAATAGATTGGAATAATATGGAATAATAGTATAGATATACAGTATCCACCTCAAACAGTTCACCTAGTCATACTTGGCTAAGTACGGGGCACTACTTTGTAGTTTAGAACCTTCTCCGACCCTGCAGATGTTCTAGCCATCTTAGATCGCAAAGGGCAGGTATTGAGACCTGAGTAGTTTGACCTATCATCCCCATGGAAGATAGGGAATCTTCGGCTACACCCATAGCTATGGCCAAATCGCTCCCTCCATTCACCACAGCTTTAGTGACTTTAGTGGCCGAGGGGCAAAGGTCCTACCCTCCGCGTGCTTCTTTGGCAACTTACTGCTGATGACCCTGGCCTGCTCCTCGAAATTGGCCCTGCAAATCATTCGCACCCGTGGGGTCCGATGTTGCTAGAATTCACGATTAGTGGTTGTTAGACACTGGGGTATATCACCTTGCTCCATCTCAGTTGTAAGGGGTTCCAACCCACTTACTAGCCACTTAGATCGACAGGTGAGCCAGTAGGGCTGTCCAGGGATGAAGTGCTATTCCAGCTACCATAGCACCCCCCCATCTCTGGAAACCTGGAGATTACGGGGAACACATCATCTATACCATCCTGAAAATACGTTTCTACATCTTTTTGGGGGGTGCTACAGATCATTGTGGCCAACGGATTGGTTATGTGGAATGATGTAGAATGGTAGATGGATGATGATGGATGTTTCTCGGTAAGACACATTCAATGATTCCCTTTCCATGGGTGACCTATGGTTACCCATCTTCATCTCAATATTTGGAAATAGCAGATTTACTTGTAAGGTTTGCAGGCATAGGCATAGGCAGACAAATGGATCCCTGTTTTCTTCGTTCATTGGTTTGATCTGTTTGGCTGTCAGCACCCGTTTTCCACAAGTAGTTTTTTTTGTGAGTTTCCGATCATTTTTTCTTAAGACATCTCTGGACTTTCGTACGTTTGCCATTATTCATCTTTTTTTCTCACCATTCTTCACGATTGTGAATTAACCATTATTGACTATTATGACTATTACTAGCTATCAGTAATAGCAATCATTATGAAAATCCCATCACCCTAATATTAAACACCCCATCAAAATGGTTCCTTTTTTGTGTGGAAATTCCCTTTCCTAAGCCATGATTTCGTTTCGGGGGTGTTTTTCATAGGGGGTGTTGGGATTCACCATGATTCACCACTGGTCCCCACTGGCGACATCGATTCAGCACCACTTCAGCACCGCACACCAGCCATGCCTCGAGTCCTCGGCCTCTTCAAAGGCGTTCCTGGCAACATGAATGAGGGGAAGAAAAAAGGCCAATCTGATACACAGGCCCCGGGAAAAAAAAGAAAAACATGGTTTATATCATCTTATTCTTAGAAAAAGACTTTGAAAAGACTACTGAAGTAGGGTTCTAGGTTTTTTCAATCTTTCATTTTTTGGGGTTACTTTTGCGCGTGAAATACGTATGATGTGGTAAAATGGTTATACCAAACACAATTCAAAGCTAAGAAAATCCTTGATCTGGTAGACCAAAAGCTACCATTTGGGCCGGTTCTTTAATCATTTCCGAGGAAAATGAGGATGGTTTGTGGCTTTACCACGTTATAACCGATGGTCTAAAGGCTGTACATGTCCTGACGCCCTGAACTACAGTTGGTCATAGTTGCCAATACCCTTAGCTGCCTTAGCTGGTCACAAATAGTAGGCATATTGTTTTTTCAAAAAAAAACTAAAAAATAAATACGTGAATAAGTAAATAAATGAATAAATAAATGAATAACTAAATAAATGAATAAATACATAAATAAAAAAATAGATAAAATTAATTAACAGTTATATTTATATATATATATATATTATAGTCATATAGACATTCCGATTTGCATAGCAGAAAGCTGTATAAAGGATTATGATGGATTATGATTACACTACCCATCGAAGGTTAGCCAAGGATCTTCCTGCAGATGTTCAAACGCCGAGCCAAGTTGGTTCTCATGTTTTCGTTCCATGGAACTCTCAGGGGTGCTCGGCCAACAATAGGAACAACTACATTTGAATCGCATCACCTGTAAATGTGCATGTACAATTGGAACATATTCCATTTGCAGTTGCTTACCACACAGTAAGATATGATTTTTCTCCATTTTTCTCCATCATGGTTGCTTGTATGTCTACCCAGTTGGTGGAAGAAATGCCGTGCCAAAAGTCCAAGCCCCCCAGCCACCAAGAAGCTAGTGAAGGCCCCATTGCTTCTTTGGTGAAACCCAATTTTTCGGTTTAATCAGCTTTCATCTCATTCGTTTGATCGTGAAACCCGGATCTTCTCCCAAATTTGAAAGTTCAATCTTGACTTTGTGCTGAAATCCCATAGTTTTGCATGCTTAAATCCACTTTTTCATAGATCATAAGGTACCTAAAAAGGGGTTTTCACTTCGGTGTTCGCCTTAGGAGCTGCTGACGCAGGTTCTTTTCTTTCCGTTCTTCGTGGGTGTAGCGCTTGATGGCCTCAAAAAGCCATCGGGGAAGGATGTTTTCTTGTTTTTCCTTGATATGGATTTTAAATACTAATATATGATATGGATATGGATTTTTAAATACTAATACATATTTTTTAATGGAATGATATGGATTTTTTAAATATGGTTGGTGGTTTTACCATAAATATTAATAGTTGGATTTAATTCACCTTAAACATAGTTGGGGATATTTTTCTGACCAATATTTTTCTTGTTCATAGTTGGATTCAATGAATATCTGGTTGGTGGTTTTACCATCTTGAAAAATATGAAAGTCAGTTGGGAAGGATTATCCCATACATTGTGGAAAAAAAAATGGTCCAAACCACCAACCAGTTAATAGTTGGATTCAATAAACATCATAGGAACATGGGATTCAACAAATGGGATCATGATGCTATTTCCATCTATGTCCTATTTGGGAGAATTTAATGATGATTCAACAACATGTTAAAACCACCAAAAATGGATAATGTGATGATGGTGTTAGCATGTTTGTTGAGGTTTAATGATGGGACTAGGGGATTAGAACGATGGGAATCGGTGGGATCTGTGATGATTTCTACCATTGAAGAAAGAAGTTGATGAATCATTCACAACATATGGATACATATGGCAGTCCCAATCACTCTCATGTTTTGTCGGATATGACATGGAATGTCTTTGATGATGTTTTGCATAGGTTCAATGTTTCCCATGCCCACTTTGACTTTGTGATGGGAATGCCAAATCCAAGAATCATGAAAACGGCCTAGAATCTCTGCCGCGGCGGCACAAATGTGGATGTCCAACACTAAGACAATACGCCCGAATCGTGTGGGAAAACGCCGTCGCTTTGAGTTAAAGACACCCGACCCGTAGGCTCCAAAAACCTCTTTACTTGAGGAGGGCTTTGGGTTCGGACAACCTTTCCAAACGAGGTATATTAAAAAAAAAAGACAAATCCATGAAATCCCATCAAATCAGTATGAAATCACCATTTTTTCATAATAAAAAAAACGGCCATATTCTTCACCATTAAATCATCATTATTTTCCAACCACTCCCGGCCAAGGATCGCAGGTTAAGCGACAGCCCTGCACCTTTGCCGTCGGATGTCATGGGATGACTACAAAATATGGTGCCATGGGACGCCGAAAAATAGGGGTTGGTCAATGGCTATTGGGTTGGTATTTAATATGGCTATTAATATGGCATTGAGAATAAATAGCATCATATGGGTTAATATTCAAAATACCCATTATATAGCCATTGGTTGGGTATTAATAGTCATTGAGAATATTATCAATGGCTATTTAATATGGCTTTATGGAGAAACTCTAAATTGATATTGAAATATGGGTCCCAATATGGGTTTATGGAGAACTTATGGATATTTATATCTGGTTGGTGGTATACCTACCCCTCTGAAAAATCATGGAGTGAAAGTCAGTTGGGATGATGACATTCCCAACTGAATGGAGCAATATAACATGTTCCAAACCACCAACCAGCTATTTGGGCTGGGTATAATAGGGGTTGGTCAATGGCTATAATTTCATCGACATTTAGCTAATTTTTCACATCACCCAAATATTGGGGATTACTATAATACATTAATATGTCATCTCCAACAGGTACTTTTGCAAGTGATGTTTTAAACCAATCCCAAAATGGGACATTTACCAAACCCTGTTAGGGAAAATATGGAGGATACCTGGAAACCCATACACCGAGTCAACATCATCACAGGACCCACCAGGAGCCTGCTGGGGTTTCCCACCAGTTTACCATGGGTTTCCCGTAAATCTTCCCCCCTGAATAGATGTCATTAATATTACCCTCTGGTAAACTAACAGTCCGCTATGGAAAATCACCATTTTCAATGGGAAAACTCACTATAAATGGTAATTTTCAATAGCTACGTTAAATTACCAGAGGGTACATGACATTTTCCATTCTCGTCCATTCTCCACATCCTTTTCCATATATTTTCAAACCACATCTATCTGGTTGGTGGTATACCTACCCCTCTGAAAAATATGAAAGTCAGTTGGGATCATTATTCCCAACTGAATGGAAAAAATAAAAAGGTTCCAAACCACCAACCAGATATAATATATATATATATTATACCATATATCCCATTATATATCCCATTATATATCCCACTATATCCCAATATGGCAACCACCAACCAGATATGTTCATAGCAAGTGTCACATCGTTTTCCAAAGCAACACCAGGCTGTTGTCATGGCCCAATCTCCAGCTGAGGCACGTATTCTCGCACAAACAAAGTGAGGTCCTCAGCTACGACGTTACGCAGCAGTTGAGGCTATCACGGTGAACTAACCATAAATTGGGATAAGGGTTGATAACCCATAAGTGTACCATGATACCAGGATATAACCCTGTGATAAGTTACCATAGTTGTAACCCATAAGTTGGGATATAACATGACTGGTTGGTGGTTGACCTACCCCTCTGAAACATATCAGTTGGGAAGGATTATCACAATATATGGAATAATAAAATTCATGTTCCAAACCACCAACCAAATGATATAATTAACCCTTATAACATCTAATAACTATGATCAAAGACATCTCTCCACTGAATCACTTACAACTATTCATAACTGGAACTGCACTTCCAGTTGTATGGACCCCAAAATTGGTCGACCCCAAAATTGGCCTGGATTCAATATGATTCCTGGGCCCCTGTGATTCAGATGCTGGGTGTTTCTGGGGAGGTGTGAAAACTGTTACTACGGGGACTGGCAAACGTGTTACTAACCTAATTAGCATACTTATTCAGGTTTTTCTGCGCAAACAATGGCTGAAACTCATCAGATGTCTGTGAAAACATGTTTGAAATTCGCATTGCTTCTGTGCTATCCGCATCACACTCATCCCTCCCCCTCCCCCCAAAAAAATACACATAACATCACGTAACTATACAACACACACACATATATATATATAGATATTTTTTCCTACAAACATACAGCATCAAATCAGACAATTTCAAGCACAGTGAGGTCCATCAGATGGTGACCGAACACGATCACCTCCCATGTCCGGAGGACACCGCCCTCCTAGGCCGCGGGGCCAAAGGTGGGGCCTGGATTGCTGCTGCCATGGGCCCCCACGATGGTCCAAGCGTAAGCGCTCCGGGAGCACCGCGCATGTCGATGGCGACATAGCGCCGGTTCGCTGCAAATCGGCTGACTCAGCAAAGGAATTCACCATAATTCACCTAGCAACCTCTGAGTAATTGAGTATCGAGGCAGAGTCTAAACGGAAGGAGTCACCCCTGACATGCTAGCCCATTCTATATAGTGGGTACCCTCTGGTAACCTTACATAGATATGGAAAATGGCCCATGTAGTTTGATGGTTTACCTATGACAAATGGTGATTTTCTATAGCAAACTGTTAATTAGTTTACGAGAGGGCAGTCCCTCACCACCATTGGTTTCATCGTGCTTGATCGTCTTAAAGCTGATGGCTGATACCTAAGCAAACATCCCCACCGATACCCGTTGGTGTTTTGACGCTTTAGGCGAAAATCTACGGAAAAACCACTTGAGTTTCTTCCACCCCATTTGATGCATAAATATCCATAAATACTGTCACTGCACATGTTCCCTCCCATCCATTGATGGGATTACTAGGCCAGATAGGATTTCCTAAAATGGGGGTACTCGAAAATGGATGGTTTACAATGGAAAATCTTAAAAACACATCTGGTTGGTGGTTTCAACCCTTCTGAAACATATTAGTCAGGTGGGATTACTATTCCCAATGCATGGAAAAATAAAAATGTTCCAAACCACCAACCAGACATGGATGATTTGGGGTTACCACCAGTTGAACGTAACGAAACTACCAACTTCATTTGCCAGGTTGCTCTGATGGAGCCCCCGAACCTGGGTCCAGGAAGGGAAAAAATGAAACCATGACAACTCACATATGTCGAAAAGGGTGTTCACAGTTGGTTGCAATCCTGCACGTGATGTACATATATATATATACATGTGTGCACACACACAAATGTATATGTATATGTAACTATATGTATATGTATATGTATATGTATATGTACATGTAATAATATGTATATATAACTATATGTATATGTAATTATATGTATATGTAATTATATGTATCTGTAATTATATGTATATGTAAATATGTGTATATGCGTGCGTATGCATATTATATGTATGTATGTATGTATGTATGTATATATATATATATTTAAAAATACGTATAATTGCACATGTATTATATATATATACATTATAGAATGAGTATTCAGCCAGAACATGGGAACGAGAGACGAAACGAAATAATGGTGTCAACATGTGTCAACCTGTTCCACCGAAGTGACGCCCGCGTCATCTGGGGATCCGTTCCCTGTTCTTTCAACGACGATGATTAAGAACAGCATGTCAAGTTGTGTTGCACCTATCAAAATGTCCTCGATTGTCTTCAAGTAAAGACCTCTGTCATCCTCTGTCCGTGCTAGCTGTTCAGAAACTGTGCGAGGTGCTGGTATGACTATACTTTGAGTCACCTCAGCAAGTGAGGCAGCCGGATTTGTACGGCAGACTTTGGCCAACAACTGCACATCTGGCAAAACGAGCTGGAGATTTGGGAGGTGCATCTTCAATTCACGGGCAATGCTTTTGTGCGTCTCCCAGGCCGAATCATCCCGTTGAGGAGTGAAACGAAAGCTCTCTTCCTCCGCCAAAGTGGAGCATATCAGGGTGACTGCCTCGCCTACAGTAGGTACTACAACCTCCAGTTGTAAAGCTATGTCTCTGCCACACGCCACATAGCCAACGTAGCAAGTTCATGCAAGTTCCAGGCTTTGGCAACGGAATGTTGCATTGTCCATGACTGCTTTTCCGATGGCAGCAGCATTGCCATCACTCCGGAGAAGCAGTGTATGATCAAAACCTGAAGAAAGTTGCGTGTATGCCATTCTTTCATCCAAAGGCGGGATGTTGCATTGTCCCTCTGCATTGTCTCCAACGGCAACAGCACCGCCATCGCTTCCGATGAGCACTGTATGACCCAAGCCTGCAGAAATCTTGATGTCATTCCCTCATCCAAAGGCGGGATGTTGCATTGTCCCTGATCATTCTCACCAACAGCAACAGCGCAGCCATCACCCGGAGAAGCACTGTATTTTGAAAGCCTGCTGCAACCTGGGTGTATGTCATTCCCTCATCCAAAGATGGGATGTTGCATTGTCCATGCTCATTAGGCAACAACAATGCCATCACTCCGGAGAAGCACTGTATGATCAGAACCTACAGAGATCTGGGTGTGTGTGTGTGTGCTGCTCCCTCATTCAAAGGTGGGATGTTGAATCGTCCACTTCTGTTGTATCCAATGGCGACAGCACTGCCATCACTCCCGAGAAGCGCTGTGCAACTATCGCCCACAGACATCATTGCCCGAATTGTGGCCAATCTGATATAAGGTGGTTGGATACGTTGGTGATAGACCTTCTACGGATCTGCTATGCTTTGAATATGTATGAATGTGTGGCAATGGGAGCGGTTTAGCGAGTTTACTGGCAAGAACGGCTGGTCATAAGCAAATCAGCCAAGTTGGATAGTCATGAGATGTCATGATTATTTAGCACTTTTCACTGATTCACATCCAGTTTGGTCCACCACATATATATAATATAATATATAATTCTATATCTACATATTATTTTACTAGTGTGTGTATAGATATAATTACTGTGTATATATATATATATACATTAAATATCATATATATATATATATACCATCCCAATTGGCCCAATTGTCCGCCTAGCGTTGGTTATTTTCACCGCTTGCAAAAACTCCAATCATGATGGTTCAATCATGTCAAACCATGTCAAACGTCCAATTTTTTGGTTCAAAAGATGGTTGCGTCATACTGTGGATGGTTGCGAAATCCTGCACCACCAAACGGATTGTTGAAACATGCTGAAACCATTTGAAACCCTGGTGGTATTTTTTATCACATCCCTCAATCAAGTTGATGCAGAATTTCGCAACCATTCACTATGTCAAGTCATCTGGTTGGTGGTATACCTACCCCTCTGCAAAATATGAGTTCGTCAGTTGTGATGATGACATTCCCAATATACGGAAAGTCATAAAATTCATGTTCCAAACCACCAACCAAATTAGTATAGTCATTAGTGATATTGTTATATAGCCATTAGAATTACCTATAATGATAAAAAAACATAAATTCCATGTGATGAACCATAAATTCCATTAAAAAAAAAAACATGTTCTTGAACGGTTCACCCACATCCTCCACGGATCCCTTCCTTCCGGGTGACTCCATGGCACCACCGAACTGAATGGCGTGGATCATGGCCGCCGTGGCGTCAGCCACCCCGACCTGCCGCGCTTCGCTACGATGGTGGGGATTCATGAGGTTTCATGGGGATGTCATCGGACACATGCTCCAATAAACATAGAAATATAACATATATATATATATTAATATATATCCTGGTTGGTGGTTTCAATCCCTTTGAAACATATAGTCAGTTGGGGAATTATTCCCACTATATGGAAAAATGACACACCATTGGTTGGTCATATGCTATGAATATATGTTTAATATATATATATATATGGTTATATTATATGGTTAATGATGGTTAATATATATATATATATATATACCTGGTTGGTGGTTGACCTACCCCTCTGAAAAATGATGGAGTGAAAGTCAGTTGGGATGATGACATTCCCAATGTATGGAAAAATAAAAGCCATGTTCCAAACCACCAACCAGATACATTTAATGTTTAATAGGTAAACCAGCTATAAATCAGAATTTTCCAAAAACATAGTTTTTATTTTAATAATGATGGTAAAACAATGCCATAAACCATCCCCCAGTAATCACCATGTTTGTAGTGTATGTTTACGATTCCCAGTCATGGGTGGTAAACATGGCATTGTTTTACCCACATGAATCTACATTCATGATGTTCAATCTCTTTTCTATATATGAAATGCATACACATGTGTCATTATAGGGCACAAATTACATTTTTAATACATATACATATATATATATATGTGTGTGTGTAACATCTAAATAGATGTAAAACTTCTCTCTTTTTTTCTTCTTCTGTCCTCTCCCTTTCTAATCCTAATACTAATGCAGGGGGACAGAGCTCTCTGATGCTACTCTGTCCAACGAAGCTATGCATCAGAGAGGGAAGCATCCATTGGCCATGGATGTGTACCTGCTTTAATTTGTTTCTCATCTAATTTGCATGTTACAGGATTCAGTTCCTGCCGGATCACTACAATGATCCATTCTTATCTTGTGTGATTCCTATGGTGACTCCGACATGGTGCCATAGGGCCAATTGAGGCAACCCTATTTGGGGTGAATGTCGACTGAATTGACAACCGAATTTACACATTTTAATTTAGTAATTCGTTTAAGTAAAGTGCAACAGCTGGCCTTACCGTTTTGTCCCTTTGATGATGTCCTGCGGCTCCTGTGGTGCCAGGGATTCCTCGCCGCAATGCCTGTCTACCAGAGTGAAGCCGTTTGAAACTGCCAGAAACCTCGTTTTTACTGCAGCTCTTGCTTTCACAGTGACAGATTAACTAGGACAGGATTTGAAAAACAGGCAGGCACACGACTTTCAGGTGTGGTCTTTTTTCTTTTGATGGTTGTCTGGTGAGGTGAAACATATTGTGCACCTAATTCGCTGGAACTTGAAAGCCGTTTATGTCAATTGGGGCAAGACTTGACCACGGTCCCGGAAAGGGAATAACGCACGACCTTCAGGTAGTTAGGAACTGAGTCCTGTTGTTTAATTAATTGTTTTGTTTTTTGTTTGTCATCAACTAGTCCCCCATTTGGTCCCTAATTGTCCCCGCGTGCCTCTCCGTAATGTGTCGTGGGGTTTAGGTGTGTGCGCTGTTTTGGTCAGGTCCGTTTCGCGGTGTAGGTTGGTTTTGGAGGTCCGTTTGTTCCCCTCCCCCCCCTGCGCTGTTCTGGCCTTCTGCCCGTCGTCTGTGTTCGCCTTGTTCTTCCTTTTGCCTTTCAGGGTTGACCCGGCTCCGGCCGGGTGTGTGTGTGTGTAACATCTAAATAGATGTAAAACTTCTCTCTTTTTTTCTTCTTCTGTCCTCTCCCTTTCTAATCCTAATACTAATGCAGGGGGACAGAGCTCTCTGATGCTACTCTGTCCAACGAAGCTATGCATCAGAGAGGGAAGCATCCATTGGCCATGGATGTGTACCTGCTTTAATTTGTTTCTCATCTAATTTGCATGTTACAGGATTCAGTTCCTGCCGGATCACTACAATGATCCATTCTTATCTAGTGTGTGTGTGGGTGTTTTACACATAATAACTCTACCTATCTATACTATCGGAAAATAGTTAAATCCTTGAAACCACCAACTAGCCCTTAAGGTTTTATCACGCTTCATCCGTCACGGTGTCACAGCCCTCTTAGCGCCGTGGCACCGGGTAATTCTCGTGTTCCGGCAGCTCCCACCAGCCCAGGCCCAAGTCGGTCTCACTCTTCGCGCCCATAGTCCTAGGTGCTGCCGGGTGCTGCATGCTGAAGCGAGACCTCGAAAATCTTGGAGTTGTTTTTTGCACAATCTTCGGAAGATTATGGAATAATCATTGGATTTCAATGGATTTCACATTTCAACAAAGCCAACCACTTCAATGATTTCAACTTAAACACCTGTGCGCACCTTGCCTGTTCACATCACAACTCTTAGGGTACCGTTGCTGTATCCATGGTTTGCCCAAGCCACCTCAAGCTGATGAGGAAGAGTAATACCATCCAAATAATTGGCAAACTATAGGCAAACTATAGGAATACTGATATTGGTATATTGAGGTATATTGATGGATATTGATGTATGATTATTGATGTATATTGATGATTATTTATGTATAATATTCCGTAATGGTATAGTTATTGATGAATATTTTTGGATGGTGATTCTGATTTTTCTTCAATGCATGCTATATCTGGACAAGGTTCTGTGCTTCCACTATTCTTTAACGACATGGCCGGTGTATGTCTGTACAATGGACACCGCATAATTGATTTTACTCAGCTTTCTGACCCGCCTTTCTCTGGCAACGTGCAGCAAGCACTGGCCACACATCTTTGTAGCAGCCATCACTGCCGTCAATCCTGGCCTAGTGCTCCAGTCGACACTCCACCTTCCAGCATCTTGCCATTGAACAAGTCGACCTGTACTCAATGTATCTCACTGTACACTGCCACAGCGCCGATCCCAAAGCTTCAGCAACATCACATTGTCCATTCGGAGGATGAGCTCTGAATTGCGCTTTGTCAACCAGCCTCTGCAGTTCACTGCATCGCTGTCACCAACACCTGAATGATAGTTATAGCTACAGGGACGCACAGGGACGGTATTGATTAACCATCACCAAAAGACTGGTCTCTGAGATCACCGTGTGATCCTATTTTTCGCAGGGGCTTCGATGGTGGAATTACCTTACCACACTGCCCGGCTGCATTGTTTAGAATGAACAATACGTGTGGGTTCGTCTGAAAATAGCATAATATAACCTAAGTAAGCCTTCAAATTCGATGGCTTATCACCATTTTTTCAACTTCAAGGATTTCATCTGGCTGAATTATACTGTCCGACTGATTCACGAACCTGAAGATAGCTGAAACTTGCGGCCACTTGGGGATGATTCCCGATCCCAAGCAGAATGCCAGTGACGTCACAACCTAAGGTCATGAGAATTCATCCATATTTAAATATATATATATAGATATATATTGCTTTAGCCATTGGCATTATGTATAGATTGAGATTGATAATATTGATATTGATATTTATATAACCTCATTCTGATTCCATTCCCATCCCAATCTCCAGCGATTTTTCGCCTTTCCGCTTGACCGGACGAGGCGCGCCAATTTCCAGGCACAGAAGCGGATGGCATGGCGTTCCCACTGCGCCACCGTGGACAGCACCTTCTTGACCCTAGCGCACGGACGGCCACAGAAAATGGTGGTGAAATGGAAATTTGGATGGGATTTTTTCGTGCTGTTTATCCATGTTTCTCCTAGGGCAAAAGTGGAAAGATGTGGAAAACCAATGGTGACCTTCACTAGAGCGTGTAATCGATCATCTGCAAATGGTGACTGCAAACCACATCTATGATCATCTATGTTTTTGGAGTTTCATCAGACTGGACCAGCACCAGGACCCAGGTCTCAAGTGTTGAATGCCAGGAGTTCATAAAGAACAATGACTCAATGGATTTGTGTAAGGGAAAATCGACGGGAAACCATTGCCATGGATTCTCCACGATTCTCCTATGAATTATGGGCTAAAATCCTGTAGGTCTTCGCTTGTTGGCCATGCACGAGCTGGACAGATCACAGAAGAAGAGTATTTCACCATCCCATTTCGGAGTGCAAGAAAAATGGTGAGCCAAACCAACATCTGGTTACATTGATCTATGTATGTTGCTCTGTTTCTGGCCACCATATGTAGTACGTAGTATTATATCACGATAAATTCCAACCAACCAAAACAACTGGAGAACTATTGGCAAGATTCACTCATGACCATCTCAAGATAATATATATATATATATATATATGTATGTAATTATATGTATATGGATAAAGTATGAAAACCGTCCAAAGAAAGATCAATTAGCCCATCTGTTTGGCGTAGCTCAGACCCAACTTCGTTGAGAATAATTCATCAACAACTGTCAGTTCAACGTGCTTAGCTGCTAGCTAAATATCTGAATGCCTGGATAAATGAAATGATGATTTACTTGCCTAAAAAGTTCGGCTATTTTGGGACATTACTGGTATTACCCCTGAAGATCACTCCGGTGACTGGTGATTGTAACTGGTGACTGGACCCAGACATCAATGGAGATCATGTCTGCAAATGTTCTAGATGTGCTTGATGTATCTACCTATGCCGTATATATATATATATCATATTTCTCTCTCTCCATCGCCATCTCAGGAGATCAGCAGTCAAGCTGAAGGCGAGCTAAAAAGGTGACGTGGCAGGTCAGCACACAAGCTCGTTAGCCAGGCGCGTCATATCACCAAGCCACCGCAAAGGTAAAGTACAAATTTCTGTTACTATACATAAGGGGTCAAAGGGATGAAAATGAATAGGTAAAGATCCTAACAAATCGGGCAGCCTCTCAGCATGTGAATCTTGATGAAAAAGGAGCACCTTCAAGTGAAACGTGCTGGGCCGAAGCCACCCTGTTGCCAGAAAAAGTTCCAGGATGTCGTGAATGGATTGAGTGCCCACTGGTGCCCGGTGGCAGCGCCAACCACAGCACCGATCCAATTCCAGTACACTGATAGCCGCCGAGTCAGTGATATCACAGACAATCAGCTGTTGACCAGGGAACGTTCCTTGTAAGCAACGTCTTTCCCACAAGTATTTGGTGCTAGAGATAGCATAAACATTGGCCCCAAAGAGCTCGGCAACAGGCAAGCCGTGTGCAACCAGCCAGCCATGCTCCCTCTCTGCCCACTGCTGGCGGCAGGCAGCCGCACCAGCATCAAGCCCACAATGGTTGAGATACCGGATGACATTTCGGTGCCCACTGTTATTTGGCCCAGTGCGACAGCGGCGGATCCCATGTGCAGTCACATCAGAATGTTGCAGCTCTGTAAGGCTTTGCCTAACAAGGTCAGTGCTAGGAAGGCGGAGAACATGCCCAACCCATCTCCACACCATCTTGGCTAGGAGGGCGTCCCAAGTTTCAGAATAAGTTCTGGACCACAACTTGACCGCATGACGTAAAGTGGCAATGCATTCGCCAACAAACCAAGAGTTGTGAGCACGAGCACCCAACGTCCAAGCAAGGAGAGTGACATGATGGATCCGGAGCTTTCGGAGATTGGTCTGATTCACAGAGACAACGCGCAGACACCATCTGATGGAAGCAGTGACTAAAGAGGTGAACAGGCGCAGGCGCAGGGGGCGGCAAGCAGAACAATGGGTAAGCAACCTTTTGTTGGTGAAATACGCGGTGGTGGCCCTTGCGCACAGGTAATCAACCATGTGTTCATCAGTCTCGACCACCTTTAACGGCATGCCCAAGTAAACAGAAGTAGCCTGCACAGGGAAGGTTCCAAGGAATCCTGGCAAACAACGAGGCAACGACGAAGCAAGAAGACAGGATTTCGAGACATTGATGGATAAGCCCAGGTTCTGCAGAAGGTCAACGACAGCAGGCATCAAACGAAGGAGCTGGGACAGAGTCCGGAAAATGAATATGGAGTCATCAATAAACCACAAAGCCCACAGCGCGAGAAGCGAGGTGACGAAGGCTGGACGTTCTCCACAGACCAACCACTGATGACTGAGCTGGTCGAAACGGCCAGAAAGGACACGACCAAACAAGGTAGGACTGTGGCTACCCCCTTGCTGGGTACCACGACCTTGCAAGCACCACCACGAGGCATCAAAAAGTTGAAACCGCAAACGGGAATGCAAAAGGACCCAACGAAGCAAGCCGGCACTCTTGGCAGAAGCAGACGACCAGTGATCAATCATGTACTGCAAGACTGAGTTGATGTTGAGGGAATCAAAGGCGCGCGAGACATCGAGCTGAACAAAGACGGGGGGCTCAGCCAGGCCAGCCGATTCTTGGGCAGCATGTTTAATGACGTAGATTGCTTCGGCCACACCTTTGTTCGCAACACAGCCAAAGCAGGAACGCGGCACAGGCCAAGAGGACACAACGCGGGCTGTGGCCAATTTGGCGGCAAGTTTGGCAAAGACTTCACCACAAACGATCGGTCTGAAGTCCGTGGCATCCTGTACCCAACTCTTTTTTGGCAGAAGAATGACCCATCCTTCAGCAAGATGCAAGTTGGCTTGGGCGGGGTCTTTCAGGACCATGTTGAGCAAGTCGGTAAGGACAAGAAGGCCATAGGACAAACCAACCAAGTGCTTGAGTAATTCGGCACTGACCCTGGACATCCCAGTTGTTTTACCAGACTTCAGCTTGCCCACAGCCGAAGCAACCTCCTCTGGGGTGAAGTCAGGTTCTGTGTCCGGTAAAGCATGAAAGGAGAGGGAAGGAGCACCATCAGACCGAAACCTTTCATCAAAGTGGTGTTGTACATGCGAGACAGCATTTTCCCGACAGCCAAAACGAGCAAGCAAACTATGTGCAACCAAGGACCCCTTCTGAGCCTTTTGTTGGAGGTGGCGACGGGCCCGCCAGTCTCCGAGGGCTGCTGCCTGAAGCAGGTTCTGCTGCCAGAGTTTCTTTTCAGCTTGGCGACTGGCATGAATCTGAAAGGAAAGGCGCTTGCGTTCCACAGCACCACAACAAAGGCTCCGCGCCCGACAGAGGGCCCGAAGGGCAGGAGAGTCAGAGTAACGCAGAGCCGGGGCAGGCGAGGAGCAAGTAGCCGCACAATGGGACAGAAACTGATGTGGATCAGGGCGGTCACCAACAGACACCGCATGACAGAAACCATACACTTTTTGTTGCAGCAACCAAGGATGGCAAACACGCATTTTGCAAGGGCGGCTCAAGAAGGCAGAGCGGCGCAACGCAGAGCGGGAAGGACGAGAAAGCACAGGCAAGGACACCAAAAGTTCATGCATGACCAAGGCGTGGTCCACACAGAGTGCTTGTTGAGCATCAGGCCTAACGGACACAGAAGCCCATGCGCAGGAGTCAGGATTCCCAATGAGACAGCAACGCTCAACAACTAGTTGGTTGCAGACCACATGATCCAAGCGACGGTCCTTCCAAGTGGGCTCACCATCCAACGAGAAGAAGTTCAAGCCAACAGATTGAAGACATGCTTGCAAGGCAACCCACCGGTCCCCCTCCGCAAGGCCAAGGTCAACATTAAGATCCCCCATAAGAATGAGCGGATGACCCCTTTGAGCCAAGGGCGTGAGAGTGGTTTGCAAGGAGGCCAGGGCAGCCAGAAAATCATCCAAAGGGCGGCCACTATGTGGCAGGTGCGCAGAGACAACACAAACCCGCTGGGCGAAAGCTGGCAATTGAATCAAGGCGCTAAGGTGAGAGTGTCCAACGGCAACAGAACTCCAAGTTGAAGAGCATTCCTCATCAAGGGCAAGGGCCAAGGCTCGGAAGCAGCCACTAGGCTTGGCAGTTAAGACCATGTAGCCATGAGACTCGGACAAATCCAAAGCTTCACCAACAGCCACGCCACCAACTTCTTGTAGGGCTAAGACATGCATGTCCAAACCAAAAGCATCCAACACATCAATGGCAGTGGGCAAGGGTTTACCTTGCAAATTCCATGCACCAAGTTGTAACAAGCCAGTCTTCAACTTATCACGGGGTGAGACATGCTCGCCGTCAGCAGTGTGTGAAAGCCTCCCTGGGTTTCCAGTAGGAGGTGAAACAAATGAACCCTGCTCTCACGGGCTGGGGCCACCGAAGTGGGCTCCCCAGCGGCGAGTCAACTCACCCTTGTCCATGCTAAGTCCAGCGGCCAAACGGTCCAAATCCAACCACACATTCACACCAGTACGCTCGTCACGAACAAGCCATCGAAGGTTGATATATATTATATCATATCATTTTATATCTGTATCATTCTGTATCTATATCTGCATCTATCTACCCATCTAATCTCTCTCTCTCTCTTTCTCTCTCTCTCTTTCTCTCTTTCTCTCTCTCTCTCTCTCTCTCTCCCTCCATCGCCTTCTGCCCATCTAATCTAGTCTAGTCTACGCCAACCTTTTCCAATCTGTCTATGTGTGATTACGATGTCAAAACTCAATCACTTAACCGTCAACATCCACACTTCACCCCTTCCAATTGACATGAACACCTCCAGCAAAACCTTAAACCTTAAACAAACACATTGCATCGCCAAAAAAAAACGGGTATCTATATCTAACATTATCTAACTAATCAACCAATCATCATTTCTGGATTCTATCAATTTCTATCATATTCCATCCCCATCTTTGCTTCAACGGACCCAAAATGCACCGCGGCACATGTTGTGCGTGGCCAATCTCTGGAGGCTCTCCTGCAGCCCCTTCATCTGCGTCCTGCGGACCTGGGCCCCCTGGGATTGCACCAAAAAAAACCATGGCATCCATGGTTACCCTCTGGTAAACTAACATAACTATGGAAAATCACCATTTTTCATGGGAAAAATCACTATAAATTGTGGAGGGTACCCTCTGGTTATGTCAAACATAGCTATTGAAAATGGCCATAGAAATAATGGATTTTCCCATCGAAAATGGGTGGATCTTTCCATAGTTATGTAACAGTTTACCAGAGGCTATCCGAAGCACAAAATCTGGTTGGTGGTGCAATAACCATCTTGAAAAATGAGCCAATGGTTAATATGGTTTTTATATGGTTAATAAAAACCTGGTTGGTGGTTTTAACCATCTTGAAACATATGAGTCAATGGGAAGGATGACATCCCATATATGATGGAAAATAAAATTCATGATCCAAACCACCAACCAGAAATAGTTATCCTAACCACATAGGCTATTTTTCTTGCTGGGTTATCCCACTGGAATGGCGATAGATCATTAGATAGTGATGTGATGGAATAAGCTTCTGGTAAACATACAAAATCCATGGACAATCACCATGTTCACTTGGTAAATCAACAAAATAAATGGCCATTAGCCATTTTCAATAGCAAACTGTTAAATTACCAGAGGGTAGCCCCAGCAAACTGATCCGAATCTCCCCAGAATGGCCCGATTTCCGATCTTTTTTCTGGCAAAATAGGGATGTGGGGAATATCGGGGAAAATGGTCAATATTCCAATCACTTTTCCCTATATGTTTTTTCCCAACAGTTAGATGTTCAAAAAAAACACACGAGATGCCCATCTGGGGATGCTGGTGAGGTCGCTGTCGCGATCAAATTTACCCATAGCAGCCCCAAAGAATGGACATGATCAGAACTACTGACCACCTGGCCAGTGTTATTGTACAACTAATACAACTTCCATCAACTTCCTGTTATCTGGCTGGGTGAAGCGATGGACTCATACAACTCCCCCAAAATGCATAACATGGACATGAAGCAAAGTAGAACAACTATGACCGACATCCCATAGTATCACAATGGACCGCTAGCACTTACATGCACAAATCCCATCCTAGCTGCAGGACAACTGCATGACTAAGACTTTACTAAGGGTTACTCAACAACCCGTTGGTGGGACTGGCCAGAATAGGACTTCCTGCTGTGGCTCCTCGCAGGAAGAAGCCTTCGATATCTTCAATGTTCGATGCGAAATTTGTGACGAAAGCAACCACTTTTTTTAATTCATGGTGCTGCCAAATGGGACCAGCCTCACTTGCGCCCATAGAAACGACTCACTTGCGCCCAGATTGACCTGAACATACCCTAAGTGTGGAAAAAACAATCATTTAGGTCTACTTTTAGGGGACATAGGGGGGGGACTTGGGGACGAGGGGGATTAGGGAGGGACATGGAGGCATGCAGCAACATAAAGCACACAGGCGACAGGGACATTGACAAACAACCCTTTGGGTCCTTTGGGATCTACTTTTAGGGGACAGTAGCTCGAGTGGAAAGGGGCTACTGTAGCCGGGCACAAGCGAGACAAATCCACAGGCACAAGCGAGGCAGGTTTCCCTGTAAATGGGTATAATTTCGGTATGATGTTGGTAAAGCAACAATAAACTACCCAAGTTCACCATAAATAGGTTGCATAAACATGTATAAACCATTCCCACATATGGGTGGTAAACATTGTTGTTTTACCCTCATTTTTTGCATAAGTTTACCTCCCATAAGTTGGGATATAACAGCCTATAACTATGGCAACTATGGGTATATGGATGTTGTATAATGTCAACCCCGGATTTTGCTAAACCATGGTTTATTAATTAGGGGGGTACCCCTCCAATAGTCATTTCATATGATACTTTTTTATGGTACCCTCCCAATTAAACAATCGGTTGGGGTTTATTAATCCAGGGTTGACATTACATATCTCTGTTTAGTTCATTGGAACCTCGAAGGATAAGGTATTGAGTTTGGATGAACCTTCAGAGGATTCCTGACCGCCAATGAGAGCACATCTACTGCTACTTACCCTCTGGTAAACGTTTACATAACTATGGAAAATCACCATTTTGAATGGGTAAATCAACGATAAATGGCCATTTCCAATAGCTATGTTTGTTTACCAGAGGGTACCCTCCTGCAACTAATACGGGCCCTGCCAGATAGGTGGTTGGAATACTGCTTGCCTCTAAAAAAAATGGTGATTCTCAGGGTCCAACTGTTTGTTGCATACGATTACCCTCTGGTTGCTTAACATAGCCATGGAAAATGGACCATTTATAGATGGTTTACCTATTAGAAATGGTGATTTTCCATGGCCTATGTTAAATGCCAAAAAAACAATTCCCCACGTCATCACCATTTTTATGGGCTAATTTGATGAAAACCATCCCCAAATGGAAGGTTTATGGCAAGGTTTATGGCATTGCCCACCTTGGTTTTTCTGGTTGGTGGTTGACCTACCCCTCTGAAAAATATGAAAGTCAATGGGAAGGATTATCCCACGTAATGTGGAAAATACAAAATGTTTGAAACCACCAATCAGTTTTGATGTATTGTATAATCAGGTCATGGCATGTGCGTTCCTTCACCAGGAAACTGCTCGGGCATTGAGATTGCATAGTGCCTTCCACACGAGCAGAGCCACCTGCCGCCAACGGTCACCATTTTGGGGGAATCCCTTAACGCTAATATTTTTAAGGGATCCATGGCGGTGAGTGTCTGAATATATGACATGGTGTCCTTATTATCTTTATGACATGTATGATTGCATCTCGATATCGCATTCTATCGCAATGATGTTTGGGGTACACTCTTCTTTCAAAAAATCCATGTGCAGGACATGTTCGATGTTAAAATTCCAGCCAAATTTACGTTAGTTAGGAGGGATGTTCCACCAGTTTACATGGAAATGTGGTGTCCCTGCTAGCAGTGACTTCCTAGTGGCCTCTTGCTGGTGAAACACCTTAACCCACAGCATTCTGCGGGACTTGCTATGGCTCATGTGTAGATGATTTACCTATTCCAAATGGTGATTTTATGGTCCATTGTGATTTTCACTAGCAATGTTAAACTACCAAAGGGTATCTACCTATATGGTGTTTCCTTGATGGTATCTACCTTCCTATATTGGTGAAATACCATTTTTGTAGATGATTTACCTATATATTTCCGTAACCGAAAAACCATCGTTGGTTACGGTCACCGTTTTCCGACCGTGTTTCACGGCCGTAAAACGCGGTGCATCGATCCCATGGCGGAGTGTTAAATAATTAACCAGGTTGGGTACATGCGAAACATATCAATGAAACGACCTTCTGAATTGTGATTAGATAATTAAATTATCATCAATTTAACTAAGTATATTGAGGTTAGATTTCCGAATAGATGTACCACTCTAGTCACTAGATACTATTTACCAACCAATAGGTTTACATTATTAACCATAGATTTACCAGTGGATTATTACAATCCAACCTCTAATATTACCAGTGGATTATTAACCATAGCTTAGGCTTAACCATAGATTAATATTTACCAATATCAATCCATTGTTTACAATATATTATCATTGGATTATTAATGGATTAACCACTATTAATCCATTATTAACCATAGATTGACCATAGATTATCAACCATAGATTTGCACATAATATAGGAACCATATTCACCATAGATTATTAACCATAAATTATTAACCACTATTAATCCATTATCACCTTGGTTTAACCATAGATTTACCACTATTTATATCTACCAACCGGTAGATATAACCATCCAACAACAGCGCGGGCGGCTCCGCAGGCTCCGCAGGCTCCGCATGCCGCACCTTGGCAGGCCGCGCGGCCTGCGATGTCCTCAGTTGGAAAGTGTTGGACAATTTTTAAAAGAGCATGTGGGATATCTGTATATATATATATATATTTACTTAATTGTTTATTTATCATTTATTTTATTTAATTGATGGTATCTACCTTCCTATATCCCATGACGGATCCATGGTGCTGGTATATATGCTAACATGACCGGGGTATATTGATGGGATCCATGTTACCATATATAGCAGCACCATGGATCCTATGGGTATATATATATATACTTAATGGTTTATTGATCATTTATATTTTTGCATATATTGGAAAATTAGTGGAAAT